TGTTCAGCCTTCAAAAGAGAAGGCTGAGGGGGGATCTTGTGGCCTGTTATAAACTGGTTAGGGGGGATCAGCAGGCGCTGGGGGAGTCCCTGTTCCCCCGAGCGCCGCAAGGAGTGACCAGGAACAATGGTCACAAGCTGGCGGAGGGAAGGTTTAAGTTGGACATCAGGAGGCGCTACTTCACGGTCAGGGCGGCTAGGGTCTGGAACCAGCTTCCAAGTGAGGTGGTGCAGGCTCCCACCCTGGGGGTTTTTAAGAGGAGGTTGGATGACCACCTTACTGGGGTTGTTTGACCCCAGTGCTCTTCCTGCCATGGCAGGGGGTCAGACTAGATGATCTTCTCAGGTCCCTTCCGACCCTAGAAACTATGAAACTATGAAAGCAATTCGCTTTGGAGTGCCTTCATCTGAACCATCATGTAATGGGGGTTCAGATTGTTATGCGATCAGATCTTTTTAAATCATTCTGCAGTTGTGCACATCTGTGAGTGTGCCCGATTGTGCAACAAACCATCGCTATTGGTGCCCTATGTGGCCAAAGAAGAGTGATATTGGAGAGTGCTATACTAAACGCAGGGCTAGTGGAAGACACTGATTAGTGGAACAGTGTGAGAGAGAGAAGCAGTGGAAACATACCAAATGAAACAGAGGAGAAGTGAAGAAGCCCCAGATGCAGAGAGTCCCAGTAACAAAGAAAATGAGAAGAAAACCAAGGCATTTTGAATGAAATATTGGATTAAAGAGGTTTAGAATTGGGAGAAAAGATACTATCCCTAGCTGTCTGCTATGTTCAGTGATTTAGGACTTTGTACATTCTTTATATAAGCCAACAGGACCGCATCAAAGAAATACCTGACTCTGTTGTCAGTTTCTCCTTCTCACTGAAACAACCCATAAAATCTGAAAATTGGCTCAGGTCAAAAGGGGGAACAGCATTCCAGTAAATCTAGTTTTGTTTCTTCCTCTTGTCACCCCTATTCTAGAAGGTGATCCTGAGGATCAAAATGTGATTGCAACCTCCAGTCCTCTGGACTACATGTCTGATTGATAAGCTGGAGTCAATAAATGCTCTAACTCAAACTACTTTCAAAAACAGCATAAAGACAATATCTGCTCTTGTCTCCTTTTGATTTCATTTTAGGGTGTGCTGGATTCATCATGTAACAGGAGTCTGGGTGTACCCGCTCTTGGAACACATAAGCCCAGGTGCCAAAATAATCTTCTTTGCAACTGTCACCATAATAATTAATATGTTCTACTTGCTGGGAGAGGTTCTAAATAATTACATCTGGGATACACAAAAATGTAAGTATTTATTATTTTGGGGAATAATAAATGAAGGAATTACTCTTGAGGGTCTAGAACCCATCCCATTGAAGTCAATGGGAATTTTAGAAAACTGAAAAGGGAAATGAGAAAATATCATTGTAACTTTTTTCTTTTTTCTCTTAAAAATAGGCAGATGAATGAAATGTTTGCCAGAGAACATGATTAGCTATGAATATGTATTCATTTTTATAACATCTAATACTAATTTAAGAGCTGCTGGCAATTACCTGAAAGGTTTACAACCCACTTGGTTTTATTAGCTGATGAATCAGTTAAATCAAGCTAGAAGAAAGTGCTATTTTGTGGAAATGATCGTACTGATATGCTTAGAATTAGAGAGATGTGTTTTTTTAAAAATAGTTTCAGGCATAAGGTATTCTTCTGTTTATAAATCAATTTGCTCAAAGAAATTAAGCATATCCATATTAAACAGGCCATATAAAAGGTATAACAGATAAACTTGCTGTTGATTAATTCTGCACAAATAATATCAATCTATTTCACTCAAACTACTAATCACTGTAGTAGTAAGGAAAAACTTAAAAGTACATCCTGCTTAACTCATCCCCATGGTTTACTCCCCTTTGGTAAGTCAGGGTGAAGTAGGTACAATCCTGTAATTCCCTACATAAAATACAATATGAAGAATTAAACTCCAGGTACAATGTTGAAACAAGAGGTTCAAAACTTCCTCTGTGGGCCCCATCTGCTGCTTATCCATTGTTAGAGTCTGGGTAGCAGGCACCTATTTTCTCAGCCCAATCCCTTTATAGACATCAACTACATAGACTTCATGACATTTGCCTCATCTTCCAGTAGTGCAGGAAAGATGCTTTAAAGAAAAAGCCTGCCACGAGGAAGAAGGGTTCACTTTATACAAGTCCCAGGTAATATAAAATATAATCATGTGATGATGAAGCATGTGTTCTTGTTAACTTCATGAATAAGTAGCTAAAAGAACATCTCCACCAACCTTCCACAGCATATATAATAGTATCTCTGCTGCTTTGTTTCTCTGCTGTAAGGGAACAGAGGCTGATCTAGCCATAATTACAGTTGTCTATGATTCTATAATGCCCAGGCCATAAGCTCCTCTCTGATCTGACTTCCATGTGATTAAGAGACATTGATCCAAATTCCTTTGTGGAGCAACCACTTGCCAGCCTGCAAATGCCATGAGTCACCTGTTGTATGGCCATGTTTAAAGGGCTGTACATAAATGTAAGTGAAAGTGAATGATTAGCCCACCGCAAGCAGCAGAAAAATAAAATCATGGTGATCTCTCAACCATGTAAGGTTTGGAAAAAAAATATTTGGAAACCATATATTTAAAAGGGGGTTTTTGAGCTCTCAAACTTTAAAATTAAAACAATCTGACTTGAGAAGGTTTCAATTTTTTTTTATTTTCCTTTTCCTCCGGAGGTGCATTAAGTGAAACCTCACTACTGACAAAATGATTTGTAGTTAGTTTTTCCAAGTTAAACCACAAACATGGTAGGCAAGGAAAAATTTGCCCTTTCTACAGGCCAGTGCCTACCCACAGCCCTGAAGATACCAACTTTTCTGCCAAACTGTTTGATACATCTGCAGTAGAATATTTCAGAAGAAAGGAAAGAGGCTCTTTTGAAAAAAGAAAAATAAAGCATTTTACTTAAAACCACTGGAAAAGTTCCTCACAGCAAAAGACACAAGGGACCCCGGATTGGCTCCAAAGCAGGCTCTTAAGCCAATTGCACTCTTTTGGAGCCAACCCATTGTTTTGGTTTTAAAACCTTTGACTATGGCCCTCCTATTATTTTTGGTTTGCCAACAACACCCACCCTATTGTCTTTAGATTGCTGGGAATGTTCCCATCCATTTGTTTACTTATTGCTTATTGCCAGGGATCCTGGTTTTCTCTGCTTAAAAATAGCAGATTCTCTGATTAAAATTGCAAATTCTCCGATTAAGACCCCCAAGATCTGCATTTTATATACACACACACACACACACACACACACACACACACACAGAGCAAAAGCTCTGTTATCTGGCACCCATGGGGAATGGGGGGTGCCAGATAACCAAATATGGCAGTTACCTGCGAGGCCCGAACAGGCATCTTTGCCTGTTTGGGCCACTGCCCCTTCCACCACATCCAGTGTGCCACTGCCCCTCCCTGGCATCAGTGTGCCAGGAGACAGGGAAGGGGGCACCATGCAGGCTGCTTTGCCCCAGGCCATGGGGTGAAACTGGAAGTGTCGGTTTGTTTTTGCCGTGTCAACTGGCATGCCGGTTAATGGAGCATACTGGTTTATAAACTATCGAATAACGTGGCTTTTACTCTGTGTGTGTGTGTGTGTGTGTGTGTGCGCGTGCGCGCGCGCATATATATATATATATATATATATATATATATATATATATATGCGCGCGCTATATATATATAGCGGTAACAGTTGAACACAATGTTTTATTGATATATTTACCATTTTAAAGCAATTTGGAAGCCTACCAGTGCCTCAATCACTATAAAAAAGTATAAATACCTATAAATTTGGGCATTTGATTTTGGGGGTTTTTTGTCCTGGAAAATCAGACCTATCCCTGCCCCCTTCACTCACCAACAGGTGGGTCCAGGTGCAGCTGCCTCCTCCCCCGCATGCCAGCTTTGTGGCACTGAGCAGCCCTGATATACTGGTGTCCTGGCAATGCCATTGCCCCTCACTCCTGACCCAGAACCCACCCCCACAAGCCTACTGGGGCCCCTCAGTCTCCACCGACAGGTCCCTGGCCCTAACAGTGCCCCTCACTTCCCCAACCACAGTCCTCCACCCAACCCTGGCCAGAGGGGGCCCCCAGCTGTCAGGGCTTTGGGACCAGGGACCTGGGTCTGGAGCCCCCTGCTCCCCTCAGCAGCCCCCAGGCCCCAGCTGCCACCCACAGGAGGCGGCAGCTGCTGCAGCAGAGCAGAGTGTGGAGCTCGGCTTCCTCTCCCCCATGCGTAGCCTGGTCAAAGCGGGGCTCCCAGAGGTGGCATAAAGCTTCCCCACCCCACCCTACTCTGCCCTGCCATACCAGGTCCTGCCCACTTAGCCCTGGAGGCCCCAGGGGGAGGGCAGGAGGGCAGGCAGCCCGAGTCTGCATCAGGCAACCTGCCCTGCACACAAATCTGAGGGTCATGTACCCGCCATGCCCCTCTGGGAGTGCACACCGTGGTCGGGAGCCAGCCCTCCTTTCCCCACGCCCCCCAGATGAGCCACCCATGGCCCCATCCCGCTTCCCACCTGGGCTTTGCGACTGCACATTCTGGGCCCAGGCACCAAACCCATGCACCACCCAGGCTGGGCAGCAGCTCCAGCCCCAGCCCTGCCCAGCTCTTTCCCTCACTATGAGGGCCTCAATCTACCCACTCTGCCCCGAACCAGACTTACCTGCAGGAGCTGCTTTCCAGGCTGCCTGTGGCCATGGGCATGTGTACATGCACACATGCACATGGTGCCCTCTGTCTGACTGTCCTTCTCCTGCTCCCCCCAGCCCCTTTCAGGCTGGAACCCACCATTTCCCATGTTTTTCTTCTTTAAAGGAGAAAATCCAGGTTTTTCTCCTTAAAATGGGAAAATCTGCATGTTACCACATATTACCATGGTGAACAGAAAACCCGGATCCCTGTTTATCTCAGTAAAGTCACCTCTGCAGATGCCCTCCTATTATCCCCATCTTGCAATCAATGCGATATTTTCAAAATAGCCCATGGAAAGAACGACCATTCATGCATATATTCCATTAGCAGGTACAGTAAAATCTCCACTATCCAGCATTTAACTAACCAGAAATTCCATTAAATGAAATTTCCATTAATGGGTTGGCCAGAACGGGGGGGGGGAATGAAACCTGAGCCAAGGAAAATAGTTTTGGAGAGACCAGTAATGTGTCTAGTTCTAGGGAAAGGTTTATCTAAATACAAAAGAAAATTGCTTATGCACCCCTCCATCCACTTAAAGGAGACAAATCTTGAGATGTTTCTGAAGCCAAGGTGGAAGAGAGGGGATGGTGTGGTGCAATGAGAGAACGAACTAGGTCCATGGTATGTGCTATTTGGGACTGGTGAATATTTTTCTTAAAGAAAAACCACCTACGTCAGC